TCGATAGCTAATAAAACTTAATTAAATCAAATTTATTTAATACTGCATCCATTGATACAAAATGTGATGTTTAAAATCTGTTTTATGTTGGTCTTGCTGTGTATAAACATGATATGGATAAAATTCATTTGAATTCATAACAGAGTTCACATAACAAAACATCGCTTCTATTAGTACCAATCTGACGTTCAATCTACCATGAATTAATCCAAGGATTAACATGTACCACTGCAAGGTCTGAGTTAGGTTCATGGCATGCATCATTTTTGTTAATTTCATAATACAATTTTTTTCAATGTTAAAATGGTAGAAGCTCATATTCTTCATAATGTATTTACATATTTATTGAAAAAAACCAACATAATTTTATCTGAATTTATTAGCAAATTCTATTGATACTCGATTTATTAATAGTTTAATTTATTATTCAGTTGATAATTGTTTATAATTTATTAATAGTTATTTATTATCTGGATAATAGTTAAAAATTTTAGAACAGCATTAACAATAAGAGATCATAACAAAATGATAGTTATTCATTTTGTTGGAACTTTAGTAAAAAGTGGCTTTTTCGGAAATATTTGACATACATGTTTTGATTAGTCATGGTCAGTGCAGTCAAGAAAATTAACTACGCAAGGCGACCTATGCGCAGGAAGTCCTGCACAGTGACGTGGGGCGTCTACTAATTGAACATTATAATTCTAAACTACGATGGCGACACAAAGCAGAGCGTCTAACTGATCATAGTTCAGAATTGTAATGTTCGCCCGGTTGACGTCCCACACCGTTGGGCGGGACACCTTGCGCATGCGTCGCCTTACGTAGTTGATTTTCTTGACTACACTGGCCATGGTTTATGCTAAAGAAATGAAAGCAACTCACATGATCGGGAATAAGAATATAATTTTATATTTATTGTTATTATTATTGTTAGTATAACATACATTTTTTTTAGATAATTGTAAGTAATTTATTTTTTTAAATAAATTGAAATGTTTTATTTATATCATAAAAAAAGGGTATTATAATCGATAGAAGTCATTTTTCGTGGATTTCATAATATTTTAATTTTTTTGTGAACTATTACAATTATTGCAGCAAAATATAAAACGAAAATAGTAAATATACATATAATATGTACGAGGCTTGGAAACCTTCAGTAGCAATTATAAAAAAGCCATTAACCACACGTGACAGTGTTAATGACCATAGCCCGTACACCAGCTGTGCTAAAAATATCTAATTTTGCCACAAACCAGCCTTCTTCTCTCTATTAGTTCACAAGGCATCGAATGGAATATGTGTCATTCCCAGTTTTGAGGATTGTTTTAATTTCTTCAATGTAACCAAAGGACAAGTGATTAATATAAAAAGACACATGTCAAATATTTTTAAGAAGTATTTTCTTCTTTTCTAAGATCCAAGATTTTATATCAATCGTTGGATAACATTTCATACGTTTCCTTGTAAGTTTTCTATTTATATTTATTAACACTTTAGTGTTCCACTTTGAATTAATGGTGATCTATGTATAATGTATAATATAATTAATGTAATGACATAAGTACAGTGTATTCACATTGAAGCCTAAATGTATCATTATCTCTTAAGATATTGCAAGTACACGCTTTAATATTTTAACATTGTCAAAGATTTAAATTCAAATATTCGATCAGTTACTTTTTATAATAATGAGTTTCCATTTTATATAAGAGATTTTAGATTAATCGTAACAGCATAGAAGCTTAAAACATTTTGACAACAACTTAAAAGGTCAAAATCTGGATATAGCAGAAAATATTGTTCTGAAATGTTTTATGGCTTGAATTGCGCGCGGTAATTACGTGTCATGGCTGCGCTCATTGCGCACGTTGTCTCCCGGGAAACAACTTTGGACAGCGCTGCTCTACAATGTAGTTTGCCAACTTGGACACAGATTGTAGAGTACAGTGCTAGAGAAAATAATAAAATAATAAAGACACTTTGCCTATATTATTTACATATTTTGTATACTCTCATTTTCTTAATCGAAAGGAAAATCTGCGTTCGAATGTTTTTTTTTTACGGTTTCCGAAGGAAGAAGATTTGCCCTATCGCGTGGTGTAATTAGATCGTGCAGCAGATCCTTAACTTTCAAAATAAATTGAAAAATATCTGTGAAAGTTGGTGCGTTGAAAGTGTCTTGTTCTGATTAAACACTACTGAAACATGCTTAGATATTTATAATGTTATAAAAAAAAAATATATCGTTGCTTTTGTGGAAATCTACAGAATCGGTCTATGTAAGAATCATTCGTATGGCTCTTACAGTTAAAGCCGTGACAATTCTTGAATTTGAAAGTTCGACATTTTGTTGACTGAGGGTGATGGAGATAAACGATCATCGAATTCGTGTTGAGTTCAAAATTGCCGTTGGACAACGTCATCGAATCACAAAATTGGTATTAGACAATGTAGTTGATATTCTGATTAAAGACTTTCATTGTGAACTTAAAACTCACTTTTATTCAAAGAAGTGCTACTTTCGCAGTTACATCATTATTGTTAGAGTAGCTGTGTCACCGGTAATGAACATAACAATCATTACAGTTGGTTACAGTATGCTCTAATTATATGTTTCTCGAACAACCTTGTATAGTTGATTGTTATTTGTTTGCAGAATAATCAACTGGGCGATACCATGTTGGAAAATACCACTGCCATTCAACGTGTGAAAGACTCGACTCGTCTTAATGGTGCTCAACAAAATATAGAGACAAAAAAATCATTTACACAATGCTCAGGAGATCGAAATAACTCAACTAACGAATGTAATATAGATCCTGAATGTTTAACATTATGGCAACATCCAATTACTACTCTCAATTACTTTTTTCGAGAACTGTTTGATAATATACTGAGCCTAGGAAATAAGACACTACTTTATAAGAGAACAGTATGGAGCATAGTTTCAATAATTATATTGTTTTTGGTGTTAAGTAGAGTGGTTGGTCCCCATCAACAGGTAAATCTTAAATTGGTTTAAAACATTGATGCCTACGTATTTTCTAAGCTTCTCAAGCTGTTTTAAGTTTTTACTACTGGGATGTACAGAGAAATTTTTAGTTGAAAGAAATATTATTTCTAGCAAATATTTTACTAAAATTATGAATGTAATAATGTTGTAGAGATACTTTCTTTATGAGCCTCAAAATTTATATTTTACATACAATATTATCTTTAAAAGATATCCTTAGGCAGTATATGATATAGAAAAAGAATAAAAATTTGTCATAAGTTTTATAATGTTTTTGACCAATACAAGATCGATTAAAGTTATTAAATATTTTCATGTTTCCAGATTTTAAAAGCATGGGAGATCAAAGTGATTTGGTGGTTATATTGGATAGGTTTAGGTGTCCTTTCTAGTGTAGGTCTTGGTACTGGCTTACATACTTTCGTACTGTATTTAGGGCCACACATAGCAGCTGTTACAATGGCTGCATATGAGTGCGGTGCGCTTAATTTTCCTGAACCACCATATCCTGATCAAATAATATGTCCCACGAAAGTTGATCCAATGTGGACAGCTGGAATATTAAATATCATGAGAAAAGTCCGCGTAGAAGCCATGCTTTGGGGTGCTGGTACCGCCCTTGGTGAATTACCACCCTATTTTATGGCTAGAGCTGCTCGAACTAGTCGACAAAACAACAAAAACGAAAAATTTGATCAAGAAGATTTGAAAGAGTTAGAAGCTTTAGAAGCTTTAGAAAATGGTGAAAATGTATCATTATTGATACGTATAAAGCTAACTATGAAACATTTTGTACAAAAAGCAGGTTTCTGGGGAATCCTTGCCTGTGCTTCAGTAAGTACTTGCACATTGTTCTCTCAAAACATTAATTTTACATTATTCAAAACATTAACGAAGTAAATGATTTGCAGATTCCTAATCCATTATTTGATCTTGCTGGGCTGACATGTGGTCACTATCTAATTCCTTTTTGGACATTTTTTGGTGCAACTCTTATAGGAAAAGCTGTTGTAAAAATGCACATTCAACAGCTTGCAGTAATTATAGCTTTTAATGAGGAACTTCTAGATAAATTTATTAAATTACTGGCAATTGTACCATACGTGGGTTCTAAATTCCAAGAGCCTTTGAAAAAATATCTTATTCAACAGAAACAAAAGTTGCACGATAAAACATCCGCGGTATGGTTTCATTACATTTAATATTAAATTAGTCGCGTGTTTTTTTTTGGTATATCTGGAAGTATGTCAATATATTTTATTTACAGGATGGATCAACAACAATCTCATGGTTATTTGATAAATTTGTGATGTTGATGGTATGTTATTTCCTAGTAACAATTATTCACGCATTGGCAAGAAATTATCATCGTAAACGAACTAAACTATCTACTGATTAAAAATTAATAAATATAGGATGTACAATGTAAACGTAAAATCAATAATTAAACAAACTACGTATAAAATTGCTGTTATAGCACTATACAATTAAGGTATTAAATATAATAATAATTCAGTGAAATTTTTGACTGCACAGTACCACGTTTGCAAAGTAAACAAACAGAGTGAGGAATAAATTGTGAAAAATTCGATGTTTTCTTAACGTTCTAATTTTGTAAAGTGCTGTGTAAACACTGAAGATACCCTCGTAATCGTAACATGTGTGTTTACGAAAATGTACATACATCAGAGAAAATTTTTAAATATGTAATATATAGTGTATGCATTTTACTTTTACATGTAACTTTCATAAAGACAATGGAACATACTATTCAGAATTATTTGTAGAATCGATGTAATGTCTGTAACTTTATTTATGATGAGTTTAAGAGTGATACAAATTTAGCTAAGGTACACTTTTTATAAAAGTCATATAAATTTTGGTACTCCTATGATTATTAAATATATTTCTCAGTATTTCATAAATGAATAAAGAGGAGATAT